CTTTTTTGGGATGGAACTCTGGCCTCTTATATTGAGCTGCAATCTTAATCTTTTTTTTTTTTTTTTTTCAAAAATTGAGACACGGTTTTGCTAAGTTATTAAGTCACTTAAGTGGGTTCAAACATGTGATCCTCCTGCCTCAGCCTCCCAGAGTGCTGGGATTAAAGCCATGCATCATTGTGTTTGGCTCATCTGTGCCTTTAAAAAGCTCCCTAGGTGATCCAAATGGGTACCCAGAGGGCTGGGGATGTAGCTCAGCAGTGTAAGTGCTTACCTGGCAAGCCTGAGGTCATGAGTTCAATTCCCAGTACCAAAAAAACAAAACAGAACAAAACAAAACAAAACAAAAACCAAGCCAAATGCACACCCAGGATGGAGAATAACTGAGTTGAGTTCTTTATTCTTTGTTTGGGTTTCCTTGAAGAAAGAAAGGAAAATGAAAAATTCATAGGTTGACATTTTCAGTATTGTGTGGTACTTGCTTAGTATTTCTGGCTCCCAAAGGGCTTTCATAATTACCCATAACACTGACATAATACCTGGAAACTACCTTATGAATTTATAAATCATTGCACTTTTGTGCACATGATGCCTGAATTATGAATAAACTTTATTCTCAACAAACAGAAAGCCATGGTAATTGTATGGCCATTGTTCTTCTCCTTTTTTTCTTCTTTCTAGTGCTGCAATTCAGTTCAGCAAGCGCTTTCTCACTAAGCTACACCCTGAGCACAGTATTTGCCACTTTTGGCTCTGCCAATTTTGATGAGATGACAGTGTGCCCGAGGCTGTGCAGATCGTTCCAAAGGTGATACACAGAGTTATGATCAATCTGAGATTATAACTCCTCAACGTCTGTACTCCAACGCTGGTCTTCCTCATTCCTTCTGTTTATAATCAGCCCACAAGACATAAATGAAATAGTATCAGACTAAGCATAAAGCAGTAGAGAGCTGGTTCCGATGAAGCCGCACGGTGGCTGGCAGTGTGCTGAGGAGCACACTGCCTCATGCGCACGCTCCTCTGTGCTGCCTGCTCAGTTGGTTTCCTTATGGCAACTCTTCAGTAAGTTTTAAATCAAAGGAAAAGGAAATTTGTTGATAATAATTTTATTGTTGATAATAACTGTTGATAATAATTTTATTCATTAAAATCAGAAAACAAAAATATGATATTATTACCTTCAAGAAGCTTTGGGAAAGCTTTGGGAATCTTTGGAAGTCTATAAACAAGCAGCTGAAACTCTGGTCCAGTGGGCAGGAAAAGCTCTTGGGTGTTGGATGCAAGAGACTCATGATCATGTTCTGGTGTCCTTACTTCCTGTGTGAGTGAAGCAAGGTTCTCTGAGCTTGTTTTGTCATCTAGAAAATGGGCTGGCATTTGTTGTAAGGGTGATTCGGGGTGATGGTTACTGGGTTTCATAGTGTAAAACAGAAAGTACCTAGAGCAGACTTTAAGGTGATAAAAATGTTCTGTCTCTAGTTTGACTTCTCAGCAATGGGCAGAAGAATTGAGGTTTCCTTGGAAAATGTTTACTTTGACTAACATGAGTGTTTCTGTTAAGTTCCATATTATAACAAGACATCTTAGATTTCCGTAGAAATAGATGCTCCTGGTCTTTCTTTGGTGGGAGCAACCCTGCCGCATCCTTTGAGCTGGGGTAGCGTCCAGTCAAGTCAACAATAGAACCATCTGGGTCAACATTCTTGGGAGGCGCTTGCCGAAGGGCAGAACAGATTTTCTTAGATCTGCCTGCTTTCTTCCCTGGTCCACTTACACTACCAGCGGCTGTGTGTGTGTGTGTGTGTGTGTGTGTGTGTGTGTGTGTGTGTCCCCTCTCACTGGGAAGTTTTTGGTTATTTCTCTAAGTGAACCTTCTGTCCCTTCTCTTCCTCTCCTTTTGGAACGGTTATCATGCTTTTAGGAGCTTGCTCGACGATGTTCTATGGTCTTTTCTGCTTTCTTTACTCTTTTTTTTTTGTTTTTGTTTTTCTGACTGGGTAATTTCAAAAGACCTGTCCTTGACCTCACTGATTATTTCTTCTGTTCTTAAAATGAATTGTTTTCAGTTTTGTTATTGTATTTTTTAGCTCTAGATTTTTTGGTTTTGTTTTAAGTTTCATCTTTTTGCTGATCCTCTTTTTTTTTTCTCTCTCTCTCCTCCTTCTCTCCCTTCTTTCCTACCTCCCTCCATTTTTAAATTTTTATTTTTATGGTACTGGGGTCAAACTCAGGGCCTCAGATATACTAGGCTAATTCTCTACCACTGAGCTACATTTGCAGCCCAATATTCTCATTTTGTTCGTGTATTGTTTCCCTGATTTTATTTTTGCCTGTGTTTACCTGTAACTCACTGGACTTTGTCAGGAAATTCATCTGTTTCCATCCCTCCAGATTCAGTTGCTGGAAGTTTATTTTACTCCTTCAAATATGTCATACTTCCCTTATTCTTTGTAGAGATCCTCCTTCTTTGTTGATTCTGTGCATTTGAACAAATAGTGAATCACCGTGTCTCCCATTCTTTATGAATTGGCTTTGACGCCAATCATCCTGGTTAGAGATTCTGGGAGCCACTCAAGCCTTTCTGTGGTTATATCTTCTCTGGTCTTGTATGTGTTGATACTGAGTTAAAGGAATTTTCTGGTTTCTCTCTTTTATTTTCTTCTTGCTTTTCCAGAGCCCACCTGGTGTCTGATTGCCTTCATGGGTCTGGACCTCAAAGGCGTGCTACAGGGCTTTCCTTTGGCTCTGGTTGGAAGCCTTAAATTCTGCAGCTTCTTAATCTTGCAGAGTGCTTCTGGGTGCAACAAGCTACCTCCTTCCTTTCCTTTGTTCTCAGCCACTCCCACCAAACAGTGCCAGACCTGCTGGTGCTGGGGAGAGGCTGGTGGCAGGTTGAGGTGACCTTTCTCAGCTGCGCTGTCTGGGATGGGCCAGTTCAGGGATGGTGACATTGCTCTTCTCACTCATTTCAGCCTCTTGTTCTCAGTTTTAAGCTTGTTTGGGACACTGTGACCTCTTAATTGGATTCTGAACTTCTCATGAAGGTGTTTTGTTTTGTATCTCATCATTAAGTTGGTATTTCTTTGGGGAACAAGGACAGGAAATTCTTATCCCACCATCTTGCTGAAGTTCTTGTTGATCTTTCTGAAAGATGGAAAATATGAAATCAGAAATAGGAGTTTCTTGGAGAAAGTCATTACCTTTGGTTACAGGAAAAATGAAGCAAATCATTTGGATCTAAAAGTCCTTTGCTTCTTGAGGTTCCGTATCACATGGGACATGTGAAAGGACATGAAGAGGTAAACAAAAAACCTGCTTATAATTAGCTGGGTTAAGACAAAGATCTTGTAATTAAACTGAAGCAGTGGTCTACTTTTCATCATTTTTCTTTTATATTTCCAGACATTTTATATAAAGAGATAAGGATTTTCTTGATGTCAAATTATTTTCCTTCAAAGCTTATCTCTCACTGCTATAGCAAAGAGAAACAGAAACACTGAAACAACACCCAGGATTTGGAGGCAGATTTATTTACATTGACGGGCACTAATCGGGGTTATTCCCAGAATATCAGGCCCTGACCTCTGGGGGGTCCAGGGCTTATATTGGATAAGCAAGCAGGAAGTACAGAGGCAGAATGGCTTGTGAATTGGGGATTGGTTTATACAATGTGCATCATAGCCACCAGCTATTTATAAGAAACAAAAGTAACAGGAACTGGAACTGGAACTATTGCTTGGGCAGCGAACAGACTGAAGTATACTGGTTGGGGGCATCTTCTGCTGCATCACCACCTCGAAACGTAAATGTCTCTGCTTAACGATGTCAAGGCTCATGGAAGATAACTTTGGTGTTACAAATTCAAATAAGACATGGTTAGTGTAAGAGACAATCTAATACAATGGAAGGACTACCTAGTGTGAGAGATTCATAATACTTTCTACCCATTGTCTATCACTGCAGCTGTATCTAAGCATAAACTAATTATCTTTTGGTACCGGGAATCGATACCACGCTTACAAGGCAGACATACACTAATTTTTAAAACCATTTTTTTCTGTTTCTGTTTTACTAATTTTTAAAACCATTTTTTTTCTATTTCTGTTTAAAACCAGTTTTTTCTGTTTAGTACTGTACTCAAAACAGTACTATTTTATATGCTTAATACAACTTCTGGAGACACTTAAAATTTTTCTATCTTTCTGGAGAAGTTTTTTTTAAAGCAAGTTTTAATGATAAATAAGTCTTTTGGACAATTTATAAGTTTAAACGTTATTGCCAAATGTTATTTGTCTATACAGTACTCAAAGAAGTCTTGCTGATTTTCTTTTTTTTGGGAGGGGATCTGAATTCTATCACAGGAGCTGTGAGAAAGAATATGAAGGATGCGATGTTTTCAGTTCAACCATAGAAGGAGCTGACAAGAACAATATAAATAAAACAACAGAAAAGAAAGTCAGACAATGTTAATTGTTTTCTCAAGACATGGTTTTTCTCATAAAGACATAAAAGAAAGCAGTGCTGCTGGTAGGGACTCTGCCTGTCATGGCAGATAATCACTGTTTTGTTTTTTTTTTTCTTTCACACAGGAGCGTAAGAAATCTTTCCCCAGACAGATGATCCAAGCTCACTGAAGCAATAAAACTCAGCCCAAGAATTTTGGTTTGGGTTTCACACAAGTCTTGTAACTGGTCCCTGCTCCATCACTGATGGTGATGGCTTTGATATCTGACTCTATCCCAAGGGAACCAGTATATGCTATGTGTGTGCGTACGGTGGAGGTAACATATACCTTATTCAGTTACTTTAAGAATTAAATTAACCAATATGTTCAAAGTATCTAGCTTTTTGCAAAGCATGTAGTAAATGCTCAATAAATACTAGTTAACAGTATTATCTGGTATTTGAAAGTGCATTCAGCTTAAAGATAAGAGAAGTATATGATTTCTATACCAGAAAATTTCAAGGGTAGAAGTTAACCTTGGAGCCTAAAGTGGTTTTTAAATCCACGGGGACATCTTTGCTGAGCTGGAAGGGCAGGCACAGGTGAACAGATGTGCATGTGAGGCAGGAGGGGCACTGGCAAGCAGAGGAAAGAGGAGGCTTCAGAGCTGGCACTTGTGGGCAGAGGTGAGAAGTGGAGACCAGAAGCTCGGTCACCAGGCCATGAGTATTCTTAGGATGGTGTGAGGAAAGGTGTGGGGCTCCTGGGATGAGCTCACTGCTGTGTGGGGTTGGCGATGAGAAAGACACTGAGAGGTGGACATAGTTGATAGACCGGCTCAAGAGCACCTGCAAGGCATCCTTGGAACATAATTTTATTTAAGAAAATCACTGTACTCTTGGTCATCTTGTGTGAATTAGAGCACACATAATTCTTCCATCTCTTTCCCTCTGATTGCTTTAGACTTAATTTGCTCTTTTCTCTGGGTGAAAACTTAGAGTACCAATTTTGTATCTTTTTTCTCTTCTAATACATCATTCAATGCTATAAATCATCCTGTTTTGCTATGTTTAAATTTTGATAATTAGTATTTGCATTTTCATTGAGTTAAAATATTTTTATGATTTGTCTTGAGACTAATTCATTGACTCACGGATTTTTAAAATAAGTATGTTAGTTTCCAAATGTCTGGGATTTTCTGGTTATCTTGTTGTTGCTGATTTCTAGTTCAATTCTGTGGAGTTCCTTGTGACATCCCATGAGTTAGGATCTGCTTGGGTTGACCAGGGTGGAAGACTGTTATCTCCGAGGAGCTGGACCATCTTGAAGACAGGATGTTTTGCCAGCTGGAGTAGAGATGGGCCTTATGCAGAAAACAAGGAAACTCCCTAGGGGACAATCAGATGAAAGTTAATTATTCAGCCAAATTGTCACATGCCCTACTATCTGCCTCGTTAACCTAAAATGAACATCTGCATGCAACAGAACTCTATGCAATTGTTCCTTAATAAATCTGGGGGCTTGAGCCAGTTTGAGGCTCAAGTTTCAGTGGGGTCCCCTGACCATCCTCAAATAAATTCTCTGTCTCTCATGTTATTTGTCTCTCTGTCAGGGTTTGCTGGCCTGAATCCTGCATAATTCCACTGTGGTCTGAGAATATATATTGTGTGTTTTATGGCCCAGAATGCAGTTAATTTTGCTGAATTTTCTTTTTTTTTAATTTTAAAGATAAAAGGAGGGAAACATTAACAGACATACAACATTTTACAACATATCACAAGCACAATACAGACAATACAGAGTTACAAACAAAGTGGTAGGGAATTAACAATGGTGGTTGTATTACATATTGATATCTTCAAAGTGGCTTCTCATGAAAACAGATATAGACATGCAATACTGGTCAACCAAAGACTCATTGATAGTTTCTTTCAATTTTGCTGAATTTTCTATGTGAGCTTGAGGAGAATGTGTACTTGCTGTTATTGGTGAAGTACTCTCTATTTGTCAATTAGATAAAGCAGATTTATAACGCTGTTAAGATCATATATATGGATCTTCTGCGTGTTTGACTACCAGCTATTGGCATAAATGTGTTGAAGTCTCCACTATTATATCGTGGATTTGTCTATTTCTCCTTTGAATGAGATTAGTTTTCACTTCATGCATTTCTAGGGTTCGTTTGTGAGGTTCATACATACCAAGAAAGATTAGCTTTCATCATTACATAACAACATTTTTTTGTCTGCTAATTTTCATCATTCTCAAATTTTCTTTGTCTGAAGTTACTGCAGGTATTCCAGCTTTCTTTTAATTAGTATTGGAATGGCATACTCTTTCTCTCTACTTCTAATTTATTTAAGTTTTATATTTAGTGGATTTCTTGTGACCATATATAGTTAGGTGCTGCTTTTAAATCCATTCTGACAATCTCTGTCTTTTAATGGATGTATTTAGACCATTCTCATTTAAAGCAATTATTATTAAAGTTGGATTAATAGCTACCGTGCTTCAAACTGATTTCTATTCATTGCATTCATTTTTCATTTCACCCCACATTTTAGCCATCTTTCTCTGGAGCATTTTACACAGTTCTGCTTTACTTCTTTTCATAGTACACCAACTGTGCTTCTTTAAAAAATTTTAGCAGTTGTACAAGAGTTTACAGTATACATTTTTCACTAATTTAAATGTACTTTCAAATAAAACTATATTAGTTCATGTGTAATTCAAGTACCTGACCATAGAGTATGCTCGCTTCCCCCTCTCATTCTTTACAACATTGTGGTCATTTGTTTCACTAATTTATATGCTGTAACCATTTGATACATTGTTTCTATTATTTCATTAAACAGATATCTTCTTGATCAATTGAAAATATAAACAATATAAGATCTTACTTTACACGTAATATTTTCATAAAAATTTGTGAAACTGAGTGTTGTTCTTAAAAATGACTTGTTTCAAGTGAAATATCTAAATTAATTCCAAAGAAAACTTATTAGTATTAGTAAGTGGGGCTTTTTCTTTGGACTGGGATCAGTGTAAAGAACAGAAATAGGGGCTGGGGATTTAGCTCAGTGGCACAGAACCTGCCTGGCAAGCACAAGGTCATGAGTTTGATTCCCAAAGCCAATGTAAAAAACAAAACAAAAAAAAAAACCAAAAAAACCAAAACAAAACAGAAATAGTTATGGAAGATATCAATTATACATCAGTTATTCTCTATAGCAGCATATTTTTGCTTTGTGTTTTTATAAGAGCTTTATCATCCCTGGCCCTAAATTTAAATGAGATATTGAGAGCTTTTTCTTTTGGAAGATAAAATTTTACTCCCTACACAATTCTTTCCACTTTAGTCTCCTTAGTAGTTTCTAGAAGCAAGCCTTCCAGATTTAGTAAATAAAAATATAGGGTGTTTAGCTAAATTTAAACTTCAGATAAATGAATAATATTTAGGATAAATACGTTCCACTTATATGAAATGTATCTGACACCTGCATTTAACTGGTTGCCTTGTATTTTAGCAGGCAACCCTATCTAGAAGGTATTTATGTTAGGCCACCCAATAGACTTTGTGTTAATTACTTTCCTGCCACTGGGGCAGAATATTCAACACCTGCAAATTAAAGGAGGAGGGATTTATTTTGGCTAATGGCTTCAGAGGGTTCAGTGTATGGTTATCTGGTTCCATGATAGAAATGGCATGGTAAAAAGGTATGGCAGAGGACGGGTGCTCAACCCACGGCTCCACTGGAGCAGTGAGAGAAGGGATGATCTGGGGATAAGAATACACCCTTTCAGGTCAACCCCTAGAAACTCACCTCTTTTGACTAGGCCCCGTTCCTAACAGTAATTTAAGCTATGAGCCCACCAGTGGATGAACCCACTGATGAGTGTAGCTCTCCCACGACACAATCACTTTCCAAAACCCCCACCTCTGAACACTTGAGACTTCTGGAGGAACATTTGAGATGGAAGCTCTAATAGACTTCTTTAATGGGAGTAAAATAACTTAATATTGTCTATCTATCTATCTATCATCTATCTATCATCTTAATCTATATCTATCTATCTATCATCTAGCCTGTCTGACACATTTTAAGCCATAAATAGTTTTTATCAAACAATTCCTAGAAAACTCTTAATAAGGAAATGATACAAATGACTATCTGAACTCCAGGCTGCTGAAAAATTAACCATTACTCTTTTTCTCCTGAGGAGTTTAACAAATCACAATGAAGTGTGGAAAGATTGTACAGGGGATGGGTGAGTAGGAAAAGCAAGCAGATGGGCTTCAGCATGGGCTATCAGGTTAATAACATCCCTTAGTTATTGCAGGCTGATCAGGTCCAAAACCTCCTGAAAAAGTATATGGTGAAGGCTAAATAAAAAGAGGCAAATGGAATGATTTCAGGGCTCCAGGAGGATCAAAGCCTTCTCGTAGAGTTTGAAATTCTCTTGGGGCTAAGACCAAGACCTTCTCTGGGTGGCCCATATTTATTTGGTTATCAGAAGAAGGGAGGGGAGTACTCAAGAAGGGCAGAATTACTCAAAGACTTCTCCAAGTAAGGTATTAAATCAATCCTTAATATGGAGTAAGTTAATCCACCCAGGAGTGAGATGCCTGAGGCTATAGACTTTATCTAGTTGAGACTGGATCCAGGTGTCCTTGGCTGTGATCTTGTCCTATTCTTTGAGGCTTTACAGTTTCATCAGTCATTACAGGTTTTAGTAGGGATTAGTGACTCAGAGGTTCACTTACTATAAGTCCACCACTCATTTCCAGACAAGGAGCTTAGGCCTTGGACAGATTCACAAGTGAACATGATTAATGGTTTAGCCAGTTGATTAATTTAAGTCTTGCTCAGTGCTGCTTCATAATGGTCTCCATCAACGGGCAAGTGTGGGTCATGTCTTCTGAGAGAACGTATCCAAACTATGTACATTGAGCTAAAGCATTCACAGCTGTTACAAGGAATCAGAGGAGAAAGGGAAGGGGGAATGCCTGAGACAGCTCCTCAGCAACAGCAGCACAGAGCTGACTTGAAGCATCCACCCAGAAAGATGGTGGAAAGTGTATGAGGAAGCAGCATGGAGGCCTTGTGTAGCACTGCCGCGCTATGTAAGGATCATGTGAGCTACTTGGATGGAAGGAGGGGTAAGATTTTAATATGACTGGGTGGAGGAAATAGCATCAGCAAAGCTGTGGGGTGGTGGGCATGGTGGGGACAGCAGAAGACATGAGACTGGAAATAAATGTCTGTGCTTCTTGGTACTGTATTTGTTTTTCTGCTCTATCATCTACTATAGTCTGCATTGTATCCTCATTTTTTAAAAGAAAATTTCTATTGAGGTGAAATTCACATAATCTAAAATTAACCATCCAAAAGCACAATTCAGTGGCATTTAATACATTCACAGCAATGAGAAATGCCAATTTCTAGTTCCAAGATATTCTTTTCTCAGGAGGAAACCCATGCCCATGAAGCAGTTGCTCTCCACTTCTCATCTTCAGTCAGCATCTGACAAACACTAACCAGCTTTCTGTCTCTGCAAGTTTACCCAGTCTGGGATATTTCATGCAAATGGAGCCTAAGCCAGTCCATGGGACAGTGGAAAGGCTAGAATTTAGCTCAGAAACAGTCCAGGATCCAAAACATTTCTTGGCATGATGGGAGAAGGACACTAATGTACACATTTCAATTATTTTTATGTTTCAGGAGTGTTATGGTTGATACATTGTGTCAACTTGGGGAGTCTAGAGGTTTGGCTAAGTGACTCAGCAGGAAGCCAGGGTGCTTAATTTGTATACATCCTGAGCCTGTGGAAGAGGAGGGCATGGAGATTATGTGAGAGCTACACGCCCCTTAGGTGGGGGTAGCATGTTTACAAAGTAAGGCAGGGAAAGAAGCTGCTTGCTGCCATTCCTCCCTTTTGCTCTGGCTGCTTTGCTGTTTGGCTGCCATTCCCCCCTTTGCTCTTGTTGGTTTGCTACTTTCTGCCTCGGAGCCAGCCAAGTATGGACTGAAACCTCCACAAACTGTAAGCTAAATAAACCTTTCCTTCCTTCATTTTGGGCATTGGGTATTTTGTCTCAGCAACGAGAGAAAAGTAACCAAGACAAGGAGTCTGACTGAAATGGGTAATGGGTGGTCACAAACCACTTCCTATTTAAAACTGTGGGCTTCCGGGGACATTGGTTTTTCACTGTGTCCTCCACTTGCCTGCAGTATACTTGCCTGAATTTCAGTAGGGCGAGGTTGGGGCTGTGCAGGGGGCTGGTGGCACAGTGGGTCTGACTCTGTTGATGTGACAGCTTCATGCAGGGATAGAGCAGTCCATGTGAAAGGGACTCTGCCCAACTCTGCCATGGGCTGGAAAGAAG